ATGACAGAATTTTCATTTTTGGGTGAACTAACCCTTTAATAAAATAAAAGAGCATTGAATGCATGTTGGGAATACAACAGTTTCACTTAACTTTATGTCTGTTCCCTATACTCATCATTTTCATAAAGCTGCCGTTCACTGGGTTGATGCTTTGGGATGTTCCACCAGAATGCCCACTGTATGCACTTTTTAATCAGATCCACTAAAAGTCCCTAAATTATATTAACATTTATTTCACTATCAATCATCATTTACATACTAAAATGTGGAAATTAATTTGATGTCTCAACTTTCTTTTTTTTTTTGTTGCCTAAAAGCACAAATTCAAAGGGCAAAATACACAAATTATGCAATAAAGGGGTTTAAACATTTTTAGGGTGACAACCCTACAAATAAATGGTTGTCTTTATACTATAGCCTAAAGACATGAATTTATATTTAATATTAAATATATATAATATTTAATATTTTTTTGTACAGTCAAGGTGACTCACCTTGATGTGCAGCTGTGCTTGTCTGAGCAGACTGAGGGTTGTGTTTCTAGCTGAATCTGAGGACAGAGGAACCTGCTGCTTCAGCTGCTCCAAACAATGTTTTAACTGAGCTCTCCTACAGCCACAAACACATGCAGCAACATAACATTTAAACGTATGCAAAACCACAAAGACACATTTCATTTCACCTCAGCTTAAATTTGTAATATAATGTATTATACAATCGTTAGTTCCAGTACTCAAATTTGATTAGCTAAACAGCGTTCCAATAGCACTGGGACTTTTCACTATTTGTATGTTGTCAGTGTTCATGCATTACAGACCAGAGTATGTGAGCATAGCATTTTACATTTACATTTACATTTAGTCATTTAGCAGACGCTTTTATCCAAAGCGACTTACAGTTGGGGGATACATCTTCGGTCAGAAAAGGATTTTAAAGCTTGATGCTTTTTAATTTGGCAAAATCTGTCTGAAATTTAAGTTGCTCAATAGCAACTCCCACACCGATGGGACTGAATTACTGAAAAACTGTACTGTTATTTAGAACAACAGCACAATTGCAATATTGCTGAATTGAAGGACAGAATGCAAAATAAGACTTGGTTACCTGTGTTTCTCCAGCTCATTGTGAACAGACCTGAAACAAAGAACAAATAGCTTTATTTAGCCATAACATTTGATTTGTTCATATTAAATATATTAGTCATTTATTTGCATATGATCTGTGTGGATACACATTTTGTAGCCAATACCATCTGATTAGATTGACCTTCAGTTAAAAGCACTTAATATAATCAACTCAGCACTTAATATTTGGCAATATTATCATCTTGATTGCACAGACACTACTGATGAGAACTGAACTGAGCTACATGATGACGTCACCGTTTCTCCAGAACTGCTTTACAGAAAAAAACCTGAACTCATTCCATAATTGATGAACGTTACAGAGTTATTAAAGTGAACTGAATAATTAACTGACTTTTAACTGAAACATTTACAGTTTACTATTGTCCTTTTTTAGAGCAGAATTGAATTTTGTTTGCATCATTGAAACATTATTTTCTGGTTGAACACTGTAAAGCTGTAATGCTTTGACATTTCTATCATGATTTATTACTAATTGTATCATTCCAAACTTGTTTAACAACAATATTTTAACCTCTTAAGACCCGAGAAAAGATTTTTAGGAAAAAAATCTTTTTTTTTCATGTCTTTACATTGTTTAGAGCATAAAAAAAAA